TTTGAAAGGTGCACGTCACGATGAAATTTATCCGTATTGGAAAAAAAAAAGAAAAAAAATTTAAGTGAAATTTATTTACCCTCATTCGGGTAAAAATGTTGAACCTGCTCTCAAGTCGGCTTACTAGGTAAATGCTACTTGACCAAACGTTTCAGTGGTCGACTTGGCTAGATTTCTTTTTTAATTTTGAAAGTTTTGAGCGGTTGTACAAGTTCGTACGTATATACATTACAACTAAATAAGGTACTTGTCTTGATTTGTTCCTATTTCGTGAAATGGAGGGTAGCTACAACTCAAAGGTGTAATATACGGATTCACATCCCGATGTGGGCCCAATTTTACGAGACATTCTCTTTGGTTCATTTTCATGCTATTTGGAGCTTTACACGGATCTTGGAATAGGTTTTTCCTCGTTGTGAAAGATTATCTACCCCAAAGCGTCTTCTGCAAGTCTAGTTGGGTTTTCCCACGGTGAATTGGAACCTTATGGTTGAAAATAGTTGGAGGGAGGAAAAAAAACGGTAACAGTACGAGACACTTTTGATTTGAATATTAAAAATTTTTATGCTCTGGGTGGACATTAGTTGTTAGACACAGCCACATTTCAGCACGTGGTTTAGTTTCCATTTTAAATCCATGATCCAGTTCTCGTGCTTCATAACTATATGGTATCAGGGATAATCTAGTTCACGTACGGAGGGGCACACATATATTATGTTCGAATAGTGCTAAAAAACCTTTGCTAAGAAAATTGTTTGATGCAATTAGTTTGGAATTAAGTGATGCAGTGAAAAGTAACATGTTCACCTCGAGTAAACCAGAAAAAAATTCCCTAGCGATTTTTCGCTTTAATTTATACTGGTTAGGGGTTTCGATTGGCTGAAATCGGAATTTTAAGTGAATTAGTAGGACAGAAAAATTAGTTTTCACTTTATTAGTCTCAGGAGTGATTTTGGCTGGATTTTATTTGGCAGAACTCCTCTCGCCCTCGGAGAATGTGATGGAAACTGGCGAAATTCTCTGCAACTTTCCATAGCTGTATTTCAGACACTGGTAAGAACGTGATCTGTTGGTCAGGATTTGTCGTTATACGAATCGTAAATGGCTGATTTTATGACGCAGGATCGAAAAAAGCTGAAAGAAAGTTTTCATGGTGACTCATTTTTCGACATCGGGGATAATCTTCCTAAGCCCTAGCTAGTATTGCTGCAAGTTTCTATAGCAACACATGTAGAAAAAGAAATATTAGTGCATGAAAATTTTTCGATTTTTTACTCGAATGGATGATTATTTTCCGGTATTGTCGAATATCATACTTACGAATGAGTATAAACACATTTTTGTTACCTTGTACGTACACGATATATACATATATATTATTTTGAGCTACAACAAAGAACTACTTGTAACTATAGAGAAACACTATCTAAGTATACGCTTAAAATTAAGTCGCGCGATAGGCAATGTTTATCACTAAGTGTTGCAATAGTAGCTGATAAGAGATAAGTTTCAAGGCTCATAATTATCCACGGGTAAAAAACACACGGGCTCTTTGATAGTCTTGTGTTGCAATGAAGGTACCTTTTGTCTCACTGATATAGCACAGCTATAGCGCACGTAAGTAATCGATTATGTAGAATTCTGTTATCTCAGCCCGTAATTGCAGTAATTAGCTTGTCAGCCTGCATAAGATAAGGCTCAACGTATCGACTAAGTATTAGGTTCCCTGTACAGCCAGTTCCTATATTTCCCGGTTCCCAAAAGTGTTTAAAAGCGACATAAAAACTTACAAAAATATGAGGATATTATACGCGTGACTCAAATGTATAAGTTGCGAACATTCGGCTACGAAACCGTGAATAGTGTCAATAATGGCAATGTGTTATAAATAAAAAAATTTAAAAAAATAAACAGCGTGTTGATAAACATTAATAATTAATATTTGCAATAAAAAAAATTTTTAAAAAGTTTATCCATCAGCGAAATTGCATCACATCCTTTTCCATGCACCTTTCATCAAACAAGACATTCCCATGTACTAATCGCGTGATTAAAAACCAGTTAACATTGTTGGAAAAAATAGGAAAGCCTGTAAAAAACAAAAAATATCGAAAACAATGTAAAATATTGCTTATCAACATTTTCTTACGACTTGCTTGTACCTGTTTCGAGTATCTGCTCGTCCAATTCTGCCGATGAGTCACTGGATGACTCAGTAGTTCGGATAGTGCGTGTTCGCCATCGCGTTACTTGCATTCGATCACGCATTAGTGGGTGGCAAGGCGTAAGGATAACGATTTTATGATATAGGGAAGTTTTTTCCACCCGAAAATGCTTTGGTACGTGAGTCACACATTAAAAAAAAAATATGTAAAAAATTATTAATACCATTCGCAAATCCATACGATGTATCATCCAAATCACTACTTTTTCTCATTTGTAGGTATATGTATTACAAGTTTTAATATTTTTACGTTTCTATAATAACTATTATTCAATCGAGAGCTAGCTCGGGTAAACGTCGGCGCGACGTGTGTGGATAAAAAAAAAAAACTAGCAAATTAATATCATCAGTCTCGTGCAATAATATTCTATGGTAATAAATCTTTCTCCCGCATAAACAACGTACCAGTAGTTTACACGTGTACTCTCTATACCAACCACTTTTTGTGTGGTCCGTCAGGCGAGGGTGTCGCGCTGACCATAACTGGCCCATCGAAACTCTTTTAACCCTTTTGCTCTCATACACGCTTAGAAGGCACATTGTACATCCATACTGCCGAATATAGCACACGAACACCCCGACAATGGCATTCTTTGCCCCTTGACATATGGCTCGGTTA